CCCCCCCCCACGAGGGTGGGTTAAACGGTCAGGGTGTTTCTCTATTCTGGTTTGGAGGGGAAAGAAACGTTGCGTATTTTCCTGGATGCCCAGAGGTCCTCTTTGTAGTCAAGAAGTTCAAGTTTCCTGCTTCTGTCCATGGGAGGAGCGCCCGTGCTCACTGGCCATTGTCCGTGGGGGGCGGCCGTGGGATGGGGGGAGGGCAGCGGTGATGTCGGGTGAAGGACTGAACAGGGGCAGGGTGAGGATGTGAAGACCGGGGACGTTGAAGAGCAAGAAAGTGATAGGCCTAGACGGCTGCGGATGCAGAAGGGCAGCAAGGCAAACAGGCGGCGGAGGAATTTGGTTGTGTCTGTCCCAGCTGAGTCTGCTGAGGACAGAGGCTGTGGCCGGAGCAGACTCACCTCTCTTCCCGCTGCCGCTCAGCATTCGTGGGGTGGGGGGTGGGGGGGGCAATACTGCTGTTGGATGCGCTGAACCTGCACAGGGACAAGTGTAATGGCATTGCTGTGGTCAGAGAGGGGGCTTGCTGTCTCCTGAGGCTAATTATGTGACCTGAACAGACCAGACTAGTCCTCGGGGGTGACGATTCTTTGGCAGAGGCCAGGGAAACCTGGGGCTAGTGGCCACCACCTACTTAGGGCAGCTCCCTGGGTGACCCTGGAGGTTGCGGCACTTCAGCAGGGCCAGCCTCCTGCAGCAGCCTCCCTTTCCCAGAAGTCTCCTGTTCTACCATGGTCTCAGCGAGCCCTGTGGGTTTTTCCTGCTTGGCTGAAAACCCCCTTCCCAGAGAGAGCCCTGAACGATTCTGCCCTACTCGGTCCTAAAGCTGCGTGAGTGCCCCTCATCGTCACCAGTCCCGGGGCCTCCTCCTGGGCTGTTGTGTGCTGGCTGCAAGTCTCCCAAGCAGCCAGGTTTCCCAGCCGCTCCCCTTGGTCACCGCTGCCAGACCAAGGTGTGACTGTGAGTGTCCGAGTTAACCTCCGGACCCCCATGCCAACTTGACTCAGGCCTGCCTGGCCTGCCATTTTCAGCCCTCATCCCCTCCCCAGCTCAGCTCTTAATGACTTTCCCCCAGCCCCCTGTGTGCCTGGCCAGCCTCAGATCCCGGGCTCTCCAGCTCACCAGGGTTTTACTCCTGACAACCATGATCAGGTGGCTTGGCGGTTCAGTTCCAGAGGGTCACTTCCTGTCCCCCATCCTCACTGCACCCTGGCCTGCTGGAATGTACCCAAGTGGTTAGAGATTCTCCAGGGCCACCAATGGACTGTCTCCTTGGGCTTCTCCCCAGAGAGGCACCACCGGCTGCTCCTTCTGAATCCGAGAGGGCCTGATGGTCCTTTCCTCACCCCTGGGGTCACGCGTGGTGGCCTGTCAGCTTCTGTCCTGGCCGCGGCCACCCAACAGGCCCCTTGGAACCTCGCCACATTTTGCTCTCCCACTGCTTGCCCTGAGCCAGTACCCAGACATCCCTGTGAAGCTGCTGAAGGTTTTCACGGCTCTTAATGAACCACAGGGGACCAGCAAGGGGGTGCAAATCAACAGAGAAGTGATCACACAGCCCCAGGCTGACTCCCAAGCCCCACCAGTGGAGCTCTGGCCTGCTCAGTGGTGTGCATGTACACACACACACACACACACACACACTGTTTTGTTAGACTTGCCAAGAGGAGGACCGTGGCTTCTAAGTAGGGTTAGCTGTGGGTCAGATGAGTTCTGGGTTTGGATTTGGACATCCCTGAATGTTTTGTGCCTCAGTTCCCTTCCCGGTCAGGAAAGTTGATTTCTCAGCGGGCTTTTGTAGGGATTGAAGCAGAGGGTGGCTGGGCGGACCAGAACCTTGTTCCTGGGCCAGCTGGGCTGGGGGGAGCCTCTGCGGCGTGGGCCCTGCTTACGTGGCTTTGGTGAG